ACATGGCATGCCGTGGCCGCATATGGGCTTGTTGGCAGAGGTTGAGCCAGGTGCCAAATGCTGGCGTCCAGCATAGCGATGCATGAAACACTGGTCCGCGATAGGGGGCACAGCTGTGACAAAAAAATGTATGGGTGGCCCAAGATTTTGTACAGGGCGGGGGGGATGTGACTCGTGACTTGGTACAAGGGGAGGTGTTCTTCCGGCTTATTAAACTCGCACTTTCAGCTCCCAAACGCGGTGTTGAGAGCCAGATATGGGCTTTTCCGGGTCTGGGGACGTTCGCTGAAATCTGAACCCTTGGCTCCTCCGAGGCGTCTGCGGCCTGCTGGGTGGGGCATTTCTGATCTTGGCTTCGTGTCGGCCTCGGGATGCCCTAAGCCCGAAGCCCGAAGCCCTAAGCCCTAAGGCCTAAAGCCCTAGGGCCTAAAGCCCTAAGCCCTAAACCCTAAACCAAAATAGTTCGGGCTCCCGAGCGACTCTGTACAACGTTGGCACGAGTGGTGTGTAAGACGCCGCGCTGGCCAGACCGGGCCGCCAGACCGGGCCGCCGGAGATAGCAAGAGTGCAAAGCGCCCCCTCCCCCCCCCCCCCATTCCCCCTCCCATGCTTGCTTTGTTTCTCTTGTGCATCCATCGTCGTTGGCTGTCTGCACTTTGACACCCCATGCATGGACAGACACATGCTCAGCCCCGCCCGCAGCCCTGAAGCCCTCGTGCTCTCAGCATTTCTGTAACCCCTTTGGTGCCTTGCATTTTCGAAATGGCAATGGAGGCGCTGAGCCAGGAGCCCCGGATGGCGGAGCAGACGACGCCGACCCAGACCGGCGGGGCACAGGACGATGTGCTGGCCGCGGCGAGCCAGCTCCACGACCTCTGGGTGAGCATCATGGACGACACGCAGTGGCAGTGGCTGGTGGGCGGCCTCTTGATGACGGGGCTGCTGGCGGCTCTGGTGGGGGTGTCTCGACGTCGTGGTCGAATGGATCCTGGCGCCAGCGAGCCTGACACTGGCGCGGCTGCCCCCGACGCCACCTTGGACGACCCTGTATCGGACCAACTCCGAGCACTCATGGAACGCACGGACAAGATGTTTGGCAAAGTCAGCACCGTCATGGACCTCCTCCTGACCGCCGACAGCAACCGGGCACAAGACCAACGCGAAGCGCGCACCGCCGCTGGCAACCTGCTCGACAAAATCAAGGAGATGTGGAACCTCGTGGAGCGGGTAGAAGGCCGTGTGCAGGACATCAAAGACCCAGCAGCGGCAATCCAGAAGATGGACGCCCAGCTCGCGGCGCTGCATAAAGGGGTCAAGGCCGACCTCCTCGCGGTCAAAACGGACCTCGGTACGACTACTGCTGGTCTGGAGGTGCTCAAGTCCCAGACCGCCGTCCTGTGCGCTTCGATGGAAAGCCTCCAGCAAAAGTTCGGCGTGGTGACGGCAGTGGTGGATGGCCTGACTACGGATCTCGCAAAGCTGTGGGAAGGCTGCGACACGGCCGCTGCCCGGGAGAGTCACGAGAACATCGCGCACATCAAGAAGGTGCTGGCCCAGGTCTGTGACATGACGTGGGCGCTCCAGGAAAGCCAGACCAAGCAGTCCGAGCAGGTGCAGGCCCTCCTGGACAAGTGTGAGGATGGTCCGGCGCAGGCAGCAGGACCGGCCCCGCGCCCTTCGGGACCGGTGCTTTACCGCTCTCCCCCGCAGACACAACCGGGGGCGGGGGCGGGAGGACCAGGTCCCGCGCAGCCCCCCATCATCAACTTGTCAGACACGGTGGCCATGCCGACGCCGTCCTACCGGGGAGGGGCTGCCCTAGTGGTCCTTTCCGGGGGAGGCCAGATGACGCTCGACGCCGCAGCCCTCACGCGCTTGGTGGTGCCGTCCTAGACCTCCGGAACCGGCCGTGGATGTTGAGAACAGCTGAATTCACACGACCAGGAATTCGATGCATGGAATTCCGGCACGCCGCCCGACCCCCCCCCCCCCCCCCCCCCCCCCCCCCCCCGCTCCTAGCCCGTACATGTTACCTCTGCCCTCAAGCCTCGTCCTCCCAAGTAGCCACCCCCCCCCCAAGAATTGACTGCATGGAATGCACGCTATGCCAGAACTGCCCCGGGCGCACTGGACCTGCATGATTGGCATGGGCACGTAGTCGTCAAAGCTGTTTTAGCTTCCACTCCTCGGAATAGATACTGTGCCGGTTTGCCCCAGGCGCACGGGACCTGCATGACTTGCATGCGCACGTAGCTGTTTCTCACACTCTGTCGCAGATGCACGCCGGCATTCTCGCAGGAGCAATAATGGGAACTGGTTGTCTCGTTGTGGGATTTAGGGGAGCTGTTGCGCATACATGCTGTGTTCTCCATGTGTTCCTCATGATTGCACGGGCACGTAGTTGTTCTCACACTTGGTCAAAGATGCATGCCGGCATTCTCGCAGGCGCACCAACTGGGACCGTCTGTTTCGTTGCGAGATTTGAGGGAGCTGTCGTGCAGTCGTGCTGTGCTCTTCATGTGTGTTCTTCATGCGTGCGTCAGCAGAGACGCTCAGAGTCCGAATCCGCCTGGCCCTTAAGCAGCTCGGAACGTCACGCCCCACAGTGCAAGCAACACGTTGCAGTTTGGAGTACAGGCACCGCCAGAGAGCCCGCCAAACCCACCGCCTTGCCCGGGGACATGCAGGGGAGAGACGAAAGGTCGTCGTATGAGCGGCTCGCAAACCGTTTCGTAGGACCGTGGGTGGAATCTCGTACCGAAGCCAAACGCATCGCCAAGGCCACTCTCGCATACCGTATGGAGGATATCATTCGTTCTCAATCCATTCGTCGCCGCATCAATGAGGAAAACCTTCGGGCTGTGGGGTGGTCGCATGAGGCTCGCGCGACGGTCGAGGGTCGCGCAGGGGTAGGGGGAGAGAGGCGAGGGGTGGTCAAGGAGGATGGCCCGACGGAGGGGCCGGCCTGCTGAGCACGCCTCGTTAGCTACACACACACACACAAGCGCACCCCCCACACGCGCGAGCGTGCACTCAGGTCCGCTTCAGTGTGCTAGATCTGTAGGCGTCCCCTACCTGTCCCCCCCCCTTACTTGTAACAACCCCGCTAACAGTCTACGGCACCTCGGTGCATCCTGAGCCATGGCCTCTCGACACGATGTGATGCCGGCCTGAGCTGGGAACCTTGGAGCTCGCGAGTTTGGCATGTGGGTTGGACTGCAATGGAGGCTGGCATCCCCAATACAGCAGCACGATGTTTGGGCTGCCAGGGGACACAGCGAGATGTTCAAGTTTTGCTGCCGTGTGGCAGCCTTGTGCCTGCGTGCGGCCGGACCGCTTTGGCCGCCCGGCGACACGGAGTGACTGCATGACGAATACCACCGCACTACATGGAGTTGGGTCGCCGCGGAGGGTGGCAGATGGGGACCCTGCGTCTGCATGGTGCCTACAACTGCCAGATGCATGACCGCTGGTACGAAGCAGAGAAGGAATTCATGAATTCAGAATTTGTGAATTCAGCAGTGAAGGCCCTGGAAACTGATGGATGCAAAACTGCATGTTGAGTGAAGCTTGGGTTCTGCACGACCTCGGAGCTGACAGTCCCACGCACGTGCACTCTGCATGGACCGTGTGCATGGCCACCGCCTGCCAAGTTGCGCCTCCTGACGCCCGGGGATGACAGAGACAGATGTACGTTGTCGAGTGCGTATGGCCACAGACGGCAGTCACTGCTCGGGACATCGAATGCTGAGGATAGAGAGAAGTCTCACCCACATAGCCCTTGCCACATGTTGCTTTCAGGGAGGAAAGGCCGCTCGGGTTGTACGGTTCTGGAGATAGTATTCATACCTGATCTTTGGACGGTTTGCGGCAACCTCCACGTATTGTCGCTAGGTCGCAATGTGCCTAGGAATAGTCAGTCGGGTCTGATGGGGGAGGCTTGTTTCAAGGTGGAAAGGTGATCGAGGTATACTGTTAGCTATCATGGTTTGAGCCCCTCTGTTGGACACGCCGACTGGGTCAAAGAACTTCTGTCGGCCAATGGACATGTACCAATTTGTTTTCTATTTGTCTGGGATCGATCAGGGGTCAGCTCTTCGGTATTGTGGCTTGGCATTGAATATTCGTCGGTGGTAATGCTGACCCTGGTTGGTTCGTTACTGGTGGTCAATGCACCCACTCTGGAGATCTCGACAGGACTTGCCTCGCCCGCTTATGCCAGTGTGAGAGTCGAAACCCAAAACCCAGGGGGTGGTGCTTCCTCACGACATTGAGGTGGTATGTTTGGCTCCGCTACCAGTGGGCTGCCCAGCGACCCGCAGTTTTGGTTGAGCAGCCTCTATGATCATGCATCGGCTATGGCCTGACATCAGCTGGCCACAGAGACCTTGTCGACTGCAGGGCAAGATAGCGGGCAGCACCCGGGAGCATTACGTGCCGGTACATACGCCCCCCCCCCCTCTCCCCTCACCCCTCAGAAGTTGGGAGACCTTAATTGTTGAGATGGTTCGAACCTGCGGGATTATAAAGGGGTTCCGAAATCAAGATCTCGCCTGACCCTCCTAAAATGCCACCGTACCCTGATTCTTGAGGACTCTTGTGGTCTTGTGGCTCAGGCCAGTGATCAACTCACGGGTCCTGAAGAGAGCCATCATGCGGAGACATCATCTCAACCTCCGAGCCGGGTCCCAAAAAAGTTAGATTACCACTGGCAGCCCGGCCGCGAGAGCTAAGGACCACACCAGTTCACGCCACGACTGGCCCGCAACTCTAGCCGCGGATCGCGGATCTGCATTACCTCACCGCCCAACCCCTCCGCCCCACTCCGCTTCCTGACAGAGGTACCCTTTGACAACCAACCTCTGCCGCCCGCGCGAAGATGGGCACGTTGTTGGTGGCCGGGCCAGCCACCGAGCTGAAGCCGCCCAGTGCACTCACCATCCGGAAGTGCACTAAAGATGCTAACAAAGAGCACTTGACGGAGCTCTGAGGCTTTGCTAATGTTCTTTAACTTTCAAGCCTTCATCCTGGCTTGGTGTGCCCCGACCTTCGGTCAAGATCAGCTTCTTTACCTGAGTTTCATCGTGATAGTTTCGGTAAGGCCAGCGCTGGCACTGCCTGGTTGGTGTGTGCTACAGCTCCTCGGCGGGTGGTAAAAACACCATATGAGGCCGAATTGGCTTCCCGCCATTTTGTGTGTCTGCAGCAGGCCTACAACAGCAGCATGCTCACGGCAGGCTTGCGTCCCGGATTGGCAGCGCCCCTTGCAGCGCTCGGAGAGGAGTGTCCTGAAGGCCTTGGCCACGGGAAAGCAGACGTCTACACCATATGCGGGGCAGCGCACAGTGCCTTCCACGATTTGGACACTTCCAAGGGGCCGGGCCCCTGATCCAAAGCACGTCAGTCATGGAGTGCCTGGGTTGGCCTTAGTTGGCAATCTGTCAGGCAGGAGGTTGCGGAGGGCACTTTAGCCTTCACGGTGTTCCTGTGCCCCATTGTTCGGCACAGTGTTGCGTTCGTGTTGCATGAGTGTTGCTGTTGACGATCCTGGCAGGTAGGATGGCTCTCACTTGTCGTTGCAGGTACTTCTTCACGGCCTTGTCCACACTATTCTACGTGTGGGCCATTGTGGCACATGCTCTATTGCACCAGTTGTGAAGAGAACACAAAGGACAGCACATGCGAAGCAGAGGCGACCTATCAGCGACGTCGGCGGGTGGAGCTCGACACTGACGAGGCAAGCTGCCGCAACTGGAGGGTTGCAGAACCCTGCAAAGCGTGCTGCTAAAATGCTAGGCCACAATGAAGGACTTTGCGCTCATGCTCACTGGCTTTCCAGAAGAGGAGGGCGAGGAGGCGCCTCCCCCCCCCCCTCCCCCAGCCACGGATGTGCAGAACTACGCAGCAGAGCCCACCTGGTCGCCACCTTGCGAGATGGAGACGGACCGGGTCAACTTTGTGCGCAGGGCCACCGGGTGTCTCATCGAAATTTGAGCTGAGTGAAGGACATCTTAGAGTTAATAGCTTCCCTGTGATCACTCGGGTACGTGGCTTGTAGGTGCCAACCCGTTGGGGTCTCCATCTGCTGGAAGTACAACAGCTTGGAGGCAGCGGGACGCAGCATGACGCAGCTGTGCAGCGTGCGAGAAAAGCTTGGTTTCCCCGCACAGGTGGAGGAACTCCTCGTCCGCGAGACGTGGCTGTGGAGCAAGGTGTGGCCAGTGTGCATTCCCGAGATGCTTGAGTTGCATGTGTCGCAGGGTCGGGACAGCTGCGGCCCCATGAAATCCACCAGCACCCTGCTCCTTGGCTGCACGCACGGAGTCCGCTTGCTTGCCGGCCTGAGACGCTACTAGCCAATGCCGTATGGTATACCTCACAAGCCTCTCCCTCACCAAGGCCGGATGATTCCAGCGCATTAGGTGGGCGATAGCTCACGGCCTTGCTGACATTCTTGTGTGAGCTGAAGCGCATTGGGCATGTGATGGCACAGGGTGCAAATATCTGCGCTGGTTCTTTCTCATGTTGAACCAACTCCTGGCTATGGGCTCAGACTCGATGCCTTCCACGTTTACACAGTGTGCCTTCTGCTTTTGTGACTCAAGTAACTTGAACCAAAGGCACCGCCAGTGCAGCTCGAGGCAGAGTCTGCTGCAGTCTGGTGTTGTTATGGTACTGGTCAGGTGATAAGCATTCACCTTCTGAGTCATTCTCAGTCCACCAGTCCTGCAGGACGCAGAGCTCGGCAAGGCGAGGCGGCACGAAGAACGTGCTGGTGCCTCAGCAAAGGACTCTGCGAAGCACAGAGCGAAGCACAGTGAGGCATAGTATCCTGCCGTGTATTCTTCACCTTCCTTTATTGCAGGCTGCTGCTGTTGCCAGGGATGCTGTGTCCACGAGCGCGGCGCTTGCCAGAAGCAGCACGTGCTCACGGAAAGCTGGCGACGTAGCGTGAACAGTGAACAGGTTACATGTTCGCAGTCTTCAGTACAGAGCATGCCCGCCAATTGTTTTCCGCTGGTTTCCGTGACTTTGCGCCTAGCGAATGGTAGAACATCCTGGCTTCAGTGCCAGGATGGACCGGGCCCGGGATCCCAGAAGATGAGAAATGAGCCCGACTGGGCCATTCAATATCCCTTACAGCCCAAGATTTCATAGGAAGTCCCTCTCTGCCTTTGCTTTGCTCCTCCGCTTTTCTTGGAGGATCATGCCAAGGAGGTCTTCTCCTCCAACTCCGAAGTGCCGCTTTACAAAGGGTTCGGGTCTTGAACGCTGTTCTCGCAGGTCCGAGCCAGCATTCAGTCCCCTCAAGTCTAGATCTTGTATGATCTTGTGATCATCGTTGGACTCTTGTGGTGCCCAGGCGACACCCCATCCGCTATGACTCCACCAGCGGAGGCTCCGAGCCAGAGAGCGTTAGGGGCCAAGATCTTACCCGAACCTACAGTGCCCCTCATGCCATGTGGCTTGGACTTATAATGTAAGGTTCTTTGGCGAAACTTCGGGTGCGACATCAAGGTATCATGGCTTGCCAAATGCTTGGGTGCATTCATTCGTTTTGATGTGGCAGGCGGTGCCTTACAAAGTGGGGGTTTCCATTGCGGGCATCGCGATTTCGATACTTTTCTGGGGCCATGGGCCCAGAGTTCTGCAGTATTCGGCATCACTGTCTCAGCAACCACCGACCGAAGGTGTCTTCTTTTATTTTCCGTTTGCAGCATACGAGGCCTTGGTTGCTGACAGTGATTATCCTGCCATGCCCTTGTGGTTGCATTGCGTTGCACATGGCTCTCCTGTTGTGAGCAGGCCTGGTCCTACTCCGCTTTGGGCAGGGTCCCCGGGGTCCTCTCTTGGCTCAGGGTGGCGTGGTTGAAGGGCCAGGACAGCTGGGGTGCGTGTTGCCAGGCGAGCCGGCCGACTTTGCTTTGGAGACAACCTTCAGCTTGCTGGTGGTGGCTGGAGCCTTTTGACCTTGAGCACTAGAACTCGCTGTCTCATGAAACATCAGGCCCCTCAAAGATGCAATCTAGGTCGGGAACCAACTCCTGTACTTGCTTTGCGCCAAAGCCTCCAAGCAGATCGGCTTCCGATTCGCCACGAGCTCAGGAAGCTGAGTTGAGGTGCAAGTCTTGGTGGCACCAGCAGGGCGAGAAAGAGCAGAGACATGGTGCAAAAAGCAAGTGGTTTGCATGAGGCCAGCCAGGAGCTTGCTGCTTATACGGGCCTCTACACGCCGCGGCCACAGGTGCTTCACCAATTCTGTGAGCAATATGAAGCAATAGTCGTACAAGAGACAGGATGTGCCAGAGTTTATTGAAAGGATTTTGGTGTTCTTGCTGAATAACAGTTTTGCTTGGTTAACCAGGGACCCGCAAGGGATTCAAGGGATAAGAAGGGACAAGGAGGCTCAAGTCCTGGGGGCCAACAGGCACACCATACCCGTGGTGAAGCTGTCCAACCCTCCCATGTGTGCGCACTCTTGTTTCCTGATATGCCTCACGCAGAGGCCTCTTATGCTGTATGCCTCTTTATCCTGATTTAGATGCCGACGTGGAAAATCGCAAGCGTGCCCTTCCTTCGTCCCAGAGGCTTCAGGGATCTTCGTTGTGCACCTGGGTGCTGGAAACCGAGGATGGCCCTGCTCTCCAACATGTTCATTGACATGTGGATCCTTTTCTACACGACGGCGGCAGCCACGGGGAACTTAGGTCCCTCGGTGGCCTTACCGATTCTTGTGTGCCTTTCTGCAGCTTTTGGTGTGACGAGCCTGTTAGGCCTCGAGGTGTCATGGCGCGCGTTCCTTCTAAACCAGGAAGAGCCTGATCCTCGCTGGTACTGAGTGGCGTGTCCACAAGATGTGCCATGACGTGCAAAACGCAACTACCTCATACCTTGCGCGCTTGCCAAGGCGGGTGAGTTTGCCACTTCGGGACATGACCTCATCAGAACTTCGGCGAGCCATTTTCTCAGTGCGTTGAAGAGTACCGGAGGCCAAGTTGGGCGAACGCCTCTTCGCCTACAACTTTCCATCTTGCTTCTTGCTGCCCTTTGTGTCAGGGCCTTGGCAGAGCTCGGAACTGGAGATGTCGTACATAGTACCTATATTAAATAGTACCTATATTAAATAGTACCTATATGAAATAGTACCTATATTAAATAGTACCTATATTATGTACCATCATGTACCTCTGCAGTCATTCGCCATTCTCAGGTGCGAAGCTTTGTCGGGGCCCTGGTGGCAAAAATGGACGTTAAGCTTGGGCCGCTGGGCAACGTCGCACTGCCCTATGAGGTTCACGGTCATCGTTCCCTACCATCTGTACAGCAAGCTGGTGGGTTCGCAGCCAATCAGTATTGTCCTCAGCTGTGGAGCATTGTGGAGACAGTTGCTGGCGATGTTTGGCAGTGTCGATGTAGGTGTCACAGGAGTGACATCCAATGATCACACTGTTACTGGTGACTTCTTCTGAGGTCAAAGAGGTGCAGATGCCTGCCTCCTGTGGGGAGCTCAAAGTTCCGTTTCGAGGATTCCGAGCTGGGGCAGCTACGTAGGTCACAGTGCCGCGGCATTTGGCTTTCTTGTTTTCGGTTCGTGAACATCAGATTGATTGGGGGGGGGGTTTCTGGGAGGGAGCGGGGGTGGGTAGAACTATCAAAAGTTCCCTAGACCTGGACCTAGACGCCTCAGGCCTCCGGCCTCGGCGGATTTTGAATCCCCATTGCTGTCCGTTGTTCACGTCCTAAAAGATCCTAAAAGTAAAAGCATGGATGCATGGCAATGACGGCAACGTCTAGTCCGTGCCCGGACCGCAGAGTTTCAAATTGCCTCTGACTTCTGCCACTGCTCAGGCCCATTACATTCGACATGGCCCGCTATGCGGATGTGGTTTCGGCCCTGGAACACATCGAAGGGCCTTACTAGGCCCCATCATGCCAGATGGGCAGCATGACAGCGGAGGTCCTGAACATGACCCAAGCCACAGTGTCGCTCTTGTTCAGTCCAGGAGCCGTGCTTGATGTGATCGTCAGTTGTGGCAAGTTGGCACATGCTGACGCTCTCGGAGGCTACGTGTGCTCAACGCTCCTCTTTCTGTTCATGAGCCATCTTTTCGTGTACGCTTTGCACTTAGACCTTTAGTGTTCGCTTTGGATTCTTCGGCATCGCGTCGCGTTCGAGGTTTGGGATCATTATCGGGTGCTGCGGCATGTTGCTGCCTCAAGCTGGCAACAACAATTGTGCGATGGATGAGACGGCAAATGACATGTGTCTGCTGTCAGGTATCGTTTCCCTGCAAATTAATTCTCAATGGAGGAAGCGTTTAGAAGACATGCCCAAAAGCTGGGGCGATAACTTTCGATTTCTAAGAGACTGTCATGGACCATCAGGTTTTTTAAGCCAAAGTGTTGTCGGGTCGTTCCAGACTGCCATGCGCTAAGGTGCGACAATTCCGCTTTGACTCGTACCGAACTGAGAAGGCGGGCCTGACATTGACACGTGGCTTGGCCAAAACTGTTGTTTTCGTGGCCACGCCGCCTTCAATCTGCTCTCCGAAGATTCTGCATCCGCTGCAAGCTCAAGACGGAACTGTCGTTGCGCATGTGGAACCGTTGACTTTGTTTTGCTGTTCCACTGGTTGACAGATGCTCTCACAGATGTCTTAAGATGTCTTAAGCAGGTGCCTTTTGTAACGAGCTGAACGGCTGAAGGTACGAGCAGCCATGCCTTGCGTCGCCATCGGGGCACGAGATGAGGAACCAGATGAGCATGCAGAAGAGGCGTCTCAGGATCAGCTAGAGCCGGAAGACGAGAACGAGGATGAGACGGAGCTGCCTGCTCCGCCGAGAAAGCCTCCGCACCTCCGTGTGCTTTTCACAGATATCGAGGGCGTCCTGGGCCCTCGACCCGATGCTCGGCTGCTGACGGTGCAGACGTCACAGTGTGTGTTTCTGCGCCGCCTGCTGCAGCGCACCGGTGCCCAGCTCGTGCTCACTTCTGCATGGAGACGGCATCGGACATACGTGGTTGAAGTCTTGGACAACTTCGGTGTCTTCGACACTTTCGACGGCAGTGGCGGCAGTGGATCCAAGCCAGGGAAATCGGACTCAGTGGACTCGGTGGGCTTCACCCCTTTCAATGCGGATGCGTCGCGGAGGGATCTGGAGATCCTGCAGTGGCTCAACAGCCACCGCGGAGAAGTCGCTTCCTGGGCTGTCCTGGATACACGCGACTTGCTTGGATTTGCTTCGGCACCGCGGCTACAGGGACACGTGATTCAGGTCGACGGCGAAAAGGGCCTTCAGCCAGAGCATGTGGATGCGGCAGTGGCGATCCTCGGAGAGCTTCCCGAAGGATGTGCCGAAGACCCTTCTGCGGTGGCGCCACCTGTGCCAGCTGTGCCCCCCGCCCCGCCCGTCTCAGCTTCTTCGTCTTCATCTCCTTTTGCGCACATTCCCATGGACGAGGGGCTGGCTTCAATGATGCAGGATGCATTGGCTCTGCTTTCGACGCTACCTGAGGGACCTGCGTTTCAGCCGCCACAGAGGTCCAAGGAGCTGAGATGTGCACCCGACACAGAGTTTGATGCTATTTCCTTGCAAGCCAAGCACAAGTTTGCTTAGTGCTGTGTGTGACAGACTTGATCGACTCGCGGATGGACGAAAACTGGCGCGCGCACAAACTTCAACATTTGCTGCATGACGCATCGGTCGTGCGCAGTTTGTGATGGTTCTATGCGTGAGGCTGCTCAGCGCCTTTTGGCACTGCCAGGTGCGAGCCCAGAACTTAGAATCTAACAGGACTACCGTAGCCGATGTTGCAACAGACTCTTACTTGGAGGTTCGTGGTACCTATTTAGGGCACTGAAGGGGCTTATAAGTGGGTTACAAGTACAGCTATAATTGGTTAATAAGTACCATGAACCTCCAAGCACCCAACCGTCAAGCAGACCGTGGCAGCGACCAGGTTAGTCAGCAGCTCTAGGACACTCGTAGTGTGGGTTCTCGCGTATGGGAGATGTCAGGTCTGGCCACTTGTGTGATGTTTCAGCTCTTCCAGGCGGCGCTTGGTAGAGTAAGCACCGGTCGTTTTTCGTTGCCAAATGGTTGAAACCATCGTTCATTCAGGACATGCTCGTTTTGCTCGTCCCCCCTCTACCCTGAAAAAGTCCATTCCGCAACTTGCCACTACCACAACTCGGCTTCCGTTTTTAAGATCATCCTCCTTCATGCCCTTGCCGCCGTGAGCTCCAGGTGCATGCCGCCCCGACCTGAGAAGAGCCAACTCGACATTCAAGAGATGCCGGAAATGTGGAAGATTTTTGCAGGGGGCATCGAGACTTCTCGCTTGTCTTGAGGTTCAGCCCTCATCGAAGGTAGTGGCTGGACTGGCACTACTAGCACCCGCTCTGCTGCACGTCGCTGTGCACATGCTCCAAGCTCGAAGTGGAGGATGAACGCAGCACAGAAGGAAGACGCCAGCTCAACAGTTCTGAGGCTGATTATCACCTACACGGTGCCGTGGCTGGGTCGCACACCGCATGTGCCAGCAATGCAGCGGTATCCCGAGGCTCGAGCTCTGCGAGATTTTCCCGCGAAGCGCATGTGGCCGTGCAAGATTAAGATACCCATACGAAGGTGGCAAAGATCTACCCCGGCAATTACTTCAACATGAATCCTGTCCACTGTTTGCGGTCAAGGCCCTTGCGGAGCTGCTGTGCAGGTTCTCTAGGGCATCATGAGCATGACAGCGTGTTGGCATGCGTCCAGATCCGAAGGTACCTTCATGATGAGCATCCGCCATGCATCTTTTACCAAATCGGCAAGGACTGCCAGTTTCAACACCAAGCCACACCCATGTTTGCTCAGCATTCTAGTTGCGATCGCGCGCTCGACTTGTGGAACTCCCGCCAGAGGTGTTCTTGGCAAGTGAAAAAAAACAGAACAGAGCATAAGAGCAGATTGCATTGTTGGCCTTGTTGGCCAGACGTTTCACTTTCTCAGCCGAGAGAAAGATCGACTTGACCGACCTTGGCCGCAGTGTTCGGTGTTCCGGCATGTTACCTTGATGCTCTCTGCAGAGGAGGCGGTCTGCGTGACGCCATGAGTTCTTGATATAGCCGATGACGGTGTCGCGAGATTCGCGAGAAACCACACGCGCTGGGCCACGAGCAGCGACCCCTCGGTGATTCCAGGAATCCTGCAGGTGGTGGGCTGTAGGTCGCTGTTGTCGCCTCCCTTCGCCACGGCACGCGGCCGCGCTCGGAACCGCCTTGGTGCTCGAGGCAGAGTCGGCGCGCCATCGTCTCGGGAGTCCAGGATCTAATTTTACGACGATGCGTGCCTTATTCTGGGTCTCCTACATTCGGGGTACCATGGGGTACCTTGTTGAGGTTCCTTTATTATTTAATGGCTACCGCCAGTGCCGCCGACCCCTTGGAGGCAAACGCCCAAGCTGCCCAAACCCTATCCCTTCGTTTGCCCCCCCCCCCCTTCTTCTCCTGCTCAACTCTGGGAGATAATGCCTCTGCTCTAAGCGCCGAAACCGTAAACCTTGGTTCTAAGTTCTGAAACGGTATATGTAAAGGGATGGGGTTGGAAAGGGGAAGGGTACTGAGGAAGAGGGGCAGGGGAAGGGAGTGGAATGGTTGGGTAGAGGGTATCGGCGAGGGGGGTATAGGCGGAGGGGGGGGGTTTGGAGAACGCAGTAGGTGAGGGATTGAGGAGGGGCAGGGGGGCTGGGGAGGGGGGGTGGCGGGGCCAGTGCGGGAAGGGTAGGGTCGAGGCGAGGGGGGGGGAGGGTTTGGGGTAGGGGTGGGGGTGGGGGTGGGGTGGGGGGAGGTGGCATGTGAGGGGTTGAGGAGGTGGGTGTGTGTGGGGTGGGAGGTCAGGGACGGGGGGGAGGAGGACGGGTGGGGAGGGAGAGGAGAGGGGCAGGGCAGGAGGAGTGGAATGGTTGGGAAGGGGAAGGGTAGTGGGGGGGGCAGGGGAAAAAGGGTAGGAGAGGTGGAGTGGGCAGGGATGAGGGGCGGAGTAGCTGGTAGAGGGAAGGCCTGCAGGATGGGGATGGGGAGGAGGGGGCGGCGGGGGTTGGGCGGGTGGGGTGGGTAGGGGGGCGGGGGGTGGGGTGGGGGAGGGGGGTGGGGGGAAGGGCGGGAAGGGCGGAAAAAACGAAAAAGGCGGGCGTGTACTGGACCCTGTAAATGATTGCCTCATCCGCGAGGGGAGGTCTTGGCGGAGGGGGGGGTCGGCAGCGGGTGGGGTAGGGCAGGGGGGGGTGGGGGGTTTAGAGGGTAGGCCTGTGCGGGATGTGAGGGGCGTGGCTCGTGGGGGGGTGGAGGCAGGGCGGGGTGTGGGTGGGGCGGGGGGCGGGGCGGGGGGGTGGGGGGGACGGACAGAGGAATGGAGTGGAAGAGGTTGCGGTCAGGGCAGGGATGGGGGAAGGCCCCGGGAAAAAACACGGGGAACAAACAGGGAGGGGAGCAGTGCGGGAGGGTGGGTGAGGGGGGGGGGGAAGCGAAGGGGGGTGGGGGGGTGAGAGGGGGGGGTGGGGAGAGGCGGGAAGGGCGAGAGGGCGGGCGTGTACTGGACCCTTTATCGTTGTCTCATCGGCGGGTGGCAGCGGGTGGGGTAGGGCAGGGGGGGGCTGGGGGGTTTGGTGGTAGGGGTTGGGGGGGGGTGGGTTTCTAATCGGTGGGGGGTGGGGGGTGGGGGGGTGGGGTGGGGGATGGGGTGGGTGGTGCGGGGGGGGAAGGGGG